CTCCTTGCCATGGCAAGGGGCAACTGCTGGAAGTGCTCTTACAGATATTAATTGGTTTTTTTCCTGTTGTCTTGTCTATTTTGTTTCTTTGCTTCAGTTTTGCTGTTTTTTTAAGTTTTGTTCTTTTTGTTCCTAGTTTGTTTTGGCTTCTTTGTTTGGTATGTTTTAATAGTCCTGTTGGTTTTAGTTGTGAGTTTTGATTTTTTTTAGTTTTGTGTGTTTTGAATTTCTTTTATGTTTGTGTCATTTGGTTTTATCTTGTCTCTATCACGATCCTTTAGCTTGATATTCTTTTGTTTCTCGCTTTGTTTATTTTTGTTTCTTTTGTTTATGTTATGCTTTTTTAGTTAGTGTTCGTTATCTCCATTTAATTTTGCTGCTTGTTCGTCCAAAAAACAAAAAAAATTTGCTGCTTGTTCTTTTACTTTTTTATTTTATTTTTTTGTTATGTCAGTTTTTAAGTATTGTTTAGAACGATTATCTTGGTGCGTTTTTTATTATTTTGCTTTTCTTTTGTTGTGTCCTTGTGTTTATTTTTCTTGTTTTGTGGATTTGTGGTTTTTTTTTTTTGTCTGAACCACGAGGTAGTCCTGGATGGGCCCCAACTATGGGTGGCACCTTTAAGCCTTAACCACAACCCAGACTAATCCCCGCTCACACCGGGTCGGCCCGTAAGGGGTAAAGTGTTGGCAAAAGTGGTGACTCCATATGAGAGCAAGACTCGAACCCCTGACCTCTCTTAAGGAATGAGAGTGCCGAACCACTCACACTAACCACCTTGATTTAGATTTGTGGTTTTTTGTGTTTGTAGTTTTTCTTTGTTTTTCTGCAACTTGGTTTTAGTAGGTTTTGTTTTTATGGTTTATTTGTTGTTTTTGCTTATCATGTTAGCATGGTCTTTTTAATTGTTGTCTTGTTTCAGTTTTCATTTTAGTTTTTAAGGTTTTTTTACTTTCAGTTTGTGTTGTTGTATTGTTCTTATTTTGTTTTAAGTAGACATTTACAAGTGGTTGGTTCAATTCTCATGGTGTGTATATGTTGTTTTTTTGTTTTCTTTTATTTTGTTTCCAGATTTGTGCTTCCAATTTTTTCTTTTTCCTTTTGTTTGGGTTTTGTTGGCTAGTTCTTTTTTCTTACTGTTCATTTGTGTTTTTAGTTTATTGGTTTTATCTTTCAGTTTATTTTAATTTTTCCTTGTTTTTCTGAATTTGTGTTTGTTGTATGCTGCAAGTTTCTGATGCTGTCCAGCAAATTGAAGGGATGCTTAGGCTTCCTCTTATTTTTAACAAAAGATCACGCATTTGTTCCTGTTGGCGCTAAATCTGAACAGATAGAGATGAGTGCAACTTACAAATGGGATGGACGATCGAGAGATCGATTGAATATTGGATGCCGTTTCTTCCTGTCCTTGGATGCTGATCCTGAATAGAAAGAAGTTGAGACTCGTAAGGTCTATGGAACCGGTGTGGAACCAGCCTAAGACCCTCCGATGCCGAAGTAAGTTTGTTGTTTTAAGAGCTCTTGCTGTTGACCATATAGAAGTATAAAAGTCAAGCTGAAAAGTCTTACCCCTGTATTGTAGTGGAAGGGGCATATTTATAGAGGGCATTTAGTATGCTCTTAGTGCTCATTTTCGATGTGGGACTCGTGGGAGGGCCCTATGAGGTTGACACGAGTCCTTAGATATTTCAGGCGGGTGCTTCGAGGTTGATTCTGCAGAATCGGTAGGGGATACCGATTGTAGGCTGTGTTGGGCTTGTAATGATCTTTTGCTGCTTTGAGACAATATCATCGGTAGCCTATGCCGATTGTCCGAGGCCTTGGGTGCTTGGGCGAGTTCATGAGATCCACGTGTCGTTGTATGAGTGGAGGGTCAGATATGGTACAAACAGTTCCTATCTCTTATGTTTGGGTTTTTGATAGTATTGGCTATTTTCAGTGCTATCTTATGTACACTCTTATGGTACTTATTATTTTAATAAAGCATCTATTTCAAAAACAAAAAAACAGAAAAAAGTTTTTTTTTTTTTTTTTTTTTTTTTTTTTTT